CTCTCTCTCTCTCTCTCTCTCTCTCTCTCTCTCTCTCTCTCTCTCTCCCGCTTCGATTGCTCTAGCTCAGTTACGATTCAGTAAATGGGTGCACATAAATTTGAATCCCAAATTGAAAATTTTATCGATAAAAATGCATGGATATGAACAGCCACTGTCACACTGAAAATTATTCGGTTGCGTGTTTCAGTTAGAAAAAAACACAAACCAAATGCTATTGAAATTTCATCGTTCAATTTTTTGTTTTAAAAGCTAAAATACTTTATACTGTTATGCACGCGAACCGTATGTTTATGAAAATTTCTATCTTCAATAATCGTTAATAGCACGAAGCTGCTTGCGTCTCAGCTCCGCCCCAGCCCAACGACAACTATAATTCTATTGAAATGATTGCAACACAGCGGTGGTCGAACCACATTTGCTACAAATCGCTCAATTTTTGAATAAACTTTAGAAGAGGCGAACAAACAGAAAACCCACAGCGCTTCGATAATTGGGGGAGAAAATATTATACCCAAAACCGAAACAAAACCGAAACTATATCGAATAAACTAGTAATTATCAAAAATGTTTTGAATTGTGCGGTTGCTTACCGATTGTGTGCTTCGGGTGGAAAACATTTGTCAAACCATTTAAAGTAATACAAACAATGGGCTCGTTGTAGTTTTTACAAAAGTCTATCATTAAACTGTTTGAAAAATCATGACTGTAATCAATCGATTTAGCGTCATAAATCATGAGCACAATTTTCATAATCAAACCAATTCAATTCAATCCAAGGTTTTTGCTCAAGGTTCGTGCATTTCACATGAAAATTTCATGGTAAAGAAGAAGAAAAAATGTTGGCAAATATAAAAAATCGTAAGGACTTTTTATCATGGTGGCCACGCGCCGGGGAAAAAAAGCAACGATCGACATGATCTGAATTCAAATTATTATGCAGGTATGGTATCACAATTTAATAAGAGCCTCCAAAAAGCGGTAAGTAATGAAAGTGATTGAAGCCGTATACGATGAAAGTGAAGAGGGCAGTGCAAAGTACGACAGGACACACTGACAAGAGAAGGAAACGCACCGAAATCTAATAAATAATTTTCTCTGTCGAGATTTCATGTGTATTGAATTTGTCTCTCTCTCTCTCTCTCTCTCTCTCTCTCTCTCTCTCATTCTTCGTTCGTTTGCCCGTTCAGTCGACAATATCGCGTCAAGTGATTCAATAACACACGCATTCAATATCAATAGACTTGTCGAACAAGTCTGGAATATGTGAGATCTTAACAAAGGTTCGCCTCTTATTCTGGGTTAAAGCATAATGGAAACGGAGACAACGCCGTTTCGGACGACGTGAATGGCAAGAGAGAGAAAGAGAGAAAAACGATAAACGTAGATAAAATACTCGTGTAGCCCCCAACAAATTGAAATCCAAACAAATCAAAAGTCATGTAAAAACGACAGAGAGAGGGAGAGAGAGAGAGACTTCGGCTCGCTGGCCGTCACTTTATCATGTAGCTTCACCGTTTATATACGAAGAAAAACACAAAAAATAGCCGAAACAAAAAACCGAA